TGAAATCGAGTGCGAAATCAGGGAATTCTGGCGTTGGAAAAATTTTCTAAGCACGATCCCTGCCCAAAATTTCACCATCTCTCACGACCATTTTTTCCACCATATTGCCAAACTTTCCTAAAAGTTTTGCCGTCGAGGGAGGGGTGGGCAGCTCCAATCAATCATAATATTTGTGACGCCACCTACTAGTAGTGTTTAGTACAGGGGATTCGACTATCAAAAAACTTTCCACAAGCCAGAGGCTGCCCCCCCCTCTTCCCTCTAGACACCATATATGCTCCCCTTTGGGGATATTCAATGTATGATGTGCCCTTATCATAATGTTGCACACAGGACACACTGATATTACAGGCCGTCTATGATTCCCGTGACAGCTCCTCCACCAGCGTTCAATATGTACGGTCTTGATATGAAGTCGTTGAAGTTCAGAAGAGTTCCTATTAAAGTGGGTCTAAAAGAGTTTAAGGGGAGAAGGTGGTAGCTGGAAGAATATCTCGCGACGGCATAACTATGACATGTCGCGCTTTGTCCTGCCACGGCCACCCTCCCTGTCCTTAAAGGCAGTTGGCACGATAAATCCCCAAGACGAGTAGGATTAATACGCCTGGCAGGACGGAATTCCGCGACCCTGAGCAGGCGCTGCATAGCGCCTTTCCCAAGGAAGGTGCCCTTATAAGGGCCCTATGAAGCTACAACATGCCGACACGAACGCCACTGGTTGTTTTTTTTCCAAATCGATCGCCAACCGAACCGTTGGTAGAGCAAGGTAGTCGGAGGCAAGTTTAATCCGCCTCTCCTCACTCCAGCCCGACTGATTGCGACGCTATCTACTATAACTTTACTCCAAACAAAGAGGTAGTAATAAGCTATGACTCTCCCATTTGGGACGGCATATCACCAAGTGTCGCATCGTAGAAGTCACTCAGCACCACCACCCAATCATGACAATACAACAATTTCAGCCAAAACAAACCCTGTGAAAGTACGCGTTCATCAGTTATCCACTGGCTATCGACTGTGATCGAACAGGTGGTGTCGTCACCGCTGAACTCGGATCTTCGTTAAAGTGACTATTTGATTCTCACTCATAAATCGTCTTGAGCGGGGTTAGATGTTTCATGTCAACCAAGCCTTCTACCCACGGAACATTCGTACCAGATTTCGCCTGAGAAGATAAAAACGCCGACTTGTAGATCGTTGGTTTCGCAGGTGATTGTGTAGGCCATATCGCAGATAAACCGCAACAATTTTGAGTGAAAGTGATATGCGTGGCGCATCCCAAAAAGTCACCGGCGAGGGCTTTATCCTTCTTTGAAAAGGTAGAAAGTATAACGATGCCGCCGATGAGATACGTAAGTCAGGGTTCTTGTCTTCCAAGACGAGTCTGGTGTCAGTCCGCCGATTCCGGAAGGCTTTAACCGGCCCGAGCAGAAGCGAGTCAGATATTTTGACCCTCTGGCCATGCAAAAAAGGGCAACAGAACAAGTCAAAATTGAATCGAATTGTTCAGGGTGGTTTGTCGGGTTAGGTATGCTGAGCAAAGGAGTTGATCAACGGTAGTAAACCAACCTTCTAATGGCAAGAACTATTTCAGGGTTAACTATTTCCCAAGCCAAACCGCGCCTCTCAGTCTGTGCAAACTCGCTGAACATTCTGTTTACCGGTAACTCTTCCAATCTATCCGAGCTTATCTTTACTGCGAATTTCAAATCACCGTTCAACGTAAGCTACTCTTTTGCAGGAATTTCCCAGCCTTTGAGAAAAGTCCATTGCTACGCCGTTCTGTAGGACAATTGAACTGGGATTTGATCTGAGTCGAAATGAAGAGCAAGCAGCTGCGGGTGAACATTAAGAGCTTCTAAGGGTTTCCCCTGCCCAACAAACGACATGTAATCCCGGGAATTTTACATCTGAATGAACAATATCGTGTTAAGATTGCTACCTTTCTGCTCAACCATAACAGAATGAACTTAAAAAAGTTATGGTTGAACTGTTTTCAATAAACATTTGAAAATGGTCTAATATTTATGCAATCATATATTTACACGCTATGATAAGGTGGTATGGCGAGTTTTGTAAGAGTAAACAGAGGTAGCAAATATTGTCACAGTATCTTAAAGACTAGGCACTGAAA